GCAGGAATGGCAGTCTCAAATGGCCCAACAATATCGAGGCCTAATTTCTTCCAGGGACCGTCAGGGAGTGGAACAGGTCGTAGAGGCGCTGGATGAGTAAGAGCTGTTTTGTCGTTAGACTGACAAGGGGCACAGGCAGATATACAGGTCTGAACCTGAGAGTCCATACAAGGCCACCAGTAAAGGTCACGCAGACGCTGTTTAGTGCGTACAATCCCCTGGTGGCTTTCATGGGCCAGGGTGATCAGTGTATGACGCAATGAGACAGGCACCACTAATCTGGAACCACGGAAGATGTAATGACCCTGCACTGAGAGTTCATCCCTAATTTTGTAGTAGGGCATTAGATTCTGGGCAACAGCCCGTATAGATGGAGGCCAGCCACGGCTAATCTGTTCACTAAGAGCCACCATTTCTGAACATGAGGAACAAGCACGGTCAAAGTCAGGGACCGGAAGGGAACTCAGTGTGGAAGAAATCAGAGCTACATGTTCAGGTTCCACATCTGTAGAAGGATCCGCTAGCACATGCAGAGGGAGACGTGAAAGGCAGTCTGCTGTATGGTTTTGTGAACCTGGCTTGTAAACGACATCGTAGTCAAAACAAAGCAGACGCGCCGACCAGCGGGCAATGCGCAATCCAGCCCTATTCATTCCTTTGGTAGTGAGTAAGGTTGTGAGTGCCTGGTGGTCCGTGCGCAAAGTAAAGCGCCTGCCCCACAAATACGTGCGCCACTTTTCTGTAGCCCACACGCATGCAAGTGCCTCTTTTTCCACAATTGAGTATTTACGCTCTGCCATTGTAAGTGTACGTGAAGCAAAAGCTACCGGTTTCTCTGTACCATCTGGCTGAATTTGGGCAAACACAGCACCCAGTCCATAATCACAGGCATCAGTCGAGATCACTGAGCGTAGGGAGGGGTCGTACAGAGCTAGGGCAGAGCTGGACACTAAGAGCTGCTTGACCTCATCAAAACTGGTCTGGGCAGCTGCAGACCATGTGAAAGTCTCTTTATCTTTTACACATTCACGCATGGGAGCCACCACCGTTGCAAAATTCGGAATAAACTTTGAGTACCATGAAGCAAGGCCCAAAAAGGATCGTAAGGCAGCAGCATCAGATGGTGCGGGAGCTTGAAGTATTGCATTAACGTGCTCTTGGTCGGGCAAAATACCATCTGCGGTAATGACATGGCCAAGGAAGCGGAGTGTGGTCTTTCTGAAATGGCACTTTTCATCATTCAGAACCAGTCCAGCCTCTTTGAGTTTTAGCAGGACAGTATGGAGAGTCCGATCGTGTTCATCAGCAGTGGCACCGTAAACTATTAGATCGTCCAGATAGTTCTGGACACCAGGTACTCCTTCCAGAATTGTTGCCATCATCTTTTGAAAAGCTGACGGAGCTGATGCCAGGCCATATGGAA